GGCGAATGCTTAAGAGGAGAGGGATGGTCCTGCTTCCAGTGGTGCCTATCTTTTTTTATTACCTGTAGAAGCAGTCAAGGTGAAATGCTTCAACTTCTGATTTCAGATGTCTAAAGGCAGGTGAAATTAATCTGTTTGGAAAATCTAATATGAAAATAAATCTCCAGTTCCTTACACTGGTACCCTTCCCCATCTTAAACAAATGTGTTTTGGTAATAACCAGAGAAAAAAAAAAGTTGACAACTTTATAAATTAAAGTCCTCCTACTCAAGCTGACATCAATGTTTCTTACATGGCCAAGGTAAACACACCAATATTATGTTTAGAGGAACTAGAAAACCACTTACCTTTCATTGTAGAGTCTGTGTGCCAAGGGTGTCACGTGAAATTATGGTTTTTGTGACAAAAGCAGATTTACACCAGGATCTTGGCTAAGAATTACTTTTTTATTCCTATTATGCTACCAAACAATATCAGAAAGTAATGAATTTTGCTGGCTACTAAAGTAGTGTGGACTCTGCAAGTGGAAACATTTTCTCTGTTGCTATTATTTTATTCCTAAAAATAGATTTTTCCTTTCCAATTTCTTATGTTACCTATTTCAATAATTGGAATGTGTTTCAGAAGAGTGGGAACACGAGTGACAAGGAAGAAGAAATAGCTACTGTGATGTGTTGGTTCACTGAAAAGTTGGTTCAAAAAGTTTCAATGCTGTGTCTTCCAGAGTTGATAATTCAGAAGATCCAGTGTACGAGAGCCTAGAAGAGTTCCATGTTTTTGTCTTAGCCCACATTTTGAGAAGACCTATTGTTGTAGTAGCAGACACGATGTTACGAGACTCAGGGGGAGAAGGTAAGAGTTTTTCATTAGAAATTTATGCACCTATGTAAATTGAATCAATCATGAACTATCACAAATAAAAGACCCAGACGTAACATTTCTGAGTGTTTATGGCATAGCTGCTGCCATTTTCTTGGGAGGGAAGAGCAGAATGATACTTAATCCATTTCTATTAGATAAAAGTAAAAAATACAGGATAACTATGTAAGTCTCACTGAAAAAACAGAACACAATACATTTCTTACTGGTCTAGGTTAACAGATTCTAATTTTGCTGTGTTATTTTGGTGCCCCTTAAAATTCCGCATAAATCAATCTAATCTGACTTTGAAAAATTGAATTTTGAATGTGTATATCTTGGCCTTTTGTTTTTACTAACTCTTTTGCAGCCTCTCAATCAAAAGTTTGCACATGTGAGCATACAAATGTTAGATCCGTATGTGGAGCCAGCTGGACAGCTGTCTGAGCAGGACTTGAATGATTAAATTAATCTCTCTCACTTTCTACCATGAACTAATAGAATACTAATTAATGATAGTATGTCACTTAACTAAAGGGGAATGTTTGGTTGATTAAAGGGGGATGTTAAACACATGATGGAGTTTACAGAAATTTACTTCTATGGCAAAATGCTGGGGGGTAATTTTCGTTTCCATTCAAATTGTGAACTACAGGTCATGGTTATATGATGGCTATCTGCTCTGACAGACTCAATCACTATTGCTTTTTTTCCCCCCTAACTTTTCCTATCCCAAAATGCCTTGCCCCCACATTTTCTTCTCCTTGACCCAATCTGACTCTGTCACAATAATCCTAGTGTTTTTCTCACTGCTGGCCTCATGGATCAGCATGATCAAGTTACCCCAGCTTAACTGTTGTATGTACAAAGTACAGGTTTTCAAAAAGACTAATAGCTTGAATAGACTCACCAAAATGTAGATTTGTGCCTCAAAACCAATACTGTTCTCTGTCCCACAGTCTGGACACAGCAGACCTCTTCCAGGAAAGAGTCTCTAGTAAGAGCAGTGCATTGTTTGGGTTAACTTTTTCCTTATGCTCATTTTGGAAATATTTCAGCAATAGGGATTCATATTTTCACAGCAAAAGGAAAAATAATTGGTCAGAAGCAAATCCGCTGAGAGAATTTTCCTGCCCAAACTTGCTGTTTCCTATAACTATATATATGTACAAGTTTAGAATCTTTTGAAGGAAAGTGCTTTGCCCTTACAGATGCAGCATCCCATTCAAATTCTGCTTGTAGAATTTTTTTAATCTTTCCTTATAATCATTATATATACACACATATACACATTCATGCATATATGATATGTGTGATGACGTGTGTATGGACTATAAACATGTTTGTAATGTTTCTTATAGAAATCTGTTAATGCAAGGCATGAGCAGAGTACATTACCAAGAGAACTGATAGTGTATTTACTGCTGATAACTAGAAAATATCCTGCTACCTAGAAGTATTACAGGAAGGTACAAATCTGTAAACATGTGTGAGAGTCATCAAGATTTTGTTATAAGACCTTAATATCTTTGCTAGTAAACAGTTAGAGCAAGGAAAATAATATGTAAGAGCAGAATGGTTTTTTTATTGTCCTTAGTACATTTCCTGATGTTTTTATAATGAAATTTTACCTGTTGTTGTGAGTCTTTTCTGCACGGATTACTCCACTTTAAGCTGCTCTCCTAGAGTTCTGAAAATGTTGTAGCTCAGTCATTACATACAATAGAACCAACATTATTGTCTGTTCTTTGACATAGTTTAAAAAAAAAAATCTTATCTTTGCAGCGTTTGCACCTATACCATTTGGAGGAATTTATTTGCCACTTGAAGTTCTACCTAACAGATGCCATTGCTCACCTCTTGTGCTTGCCTATGATCAGGCCCATTTCTCTGCCCTTGTTTCCATGGAACAAAAAGATCAGCAGAGAGAACAAGGTATGCTATAAACACGGCAACCCAAGAGTATATATTGAATACAATGCACAAAGTACTTTCTTCTACCTGTAGGTGTATTATCTATCAGAAAGGAAACAACATCCACTAACTTTTATGGCTACATTCTTAGGAGTCTAAGTAGTCTAATCATAAGAGTAGGAGCCAAGAACTCTTCAGTCCTAATCCTTGTGCTACCACTGGCTGTCTTTGGCACTTAAACCTTTTCTGTCAGTTCCATATATGTAAACAGGTATAATCATAGTTACCTACTATGCTTCTGGGCTATTGAAGGCCTTTGTTCATTTGGGTTAGCAAAGCGTTTAGAAGATAAAGTGTGAGTCAGATTACTATTGAAAATTGTGCTGTCTTCTTTTTTACTTCAGAATAGTGACGACAAAATCTGACCAGATATTTCTGTGTCAAGTTTGAGCTTCCTGTATATGGGATTGGGAGAGACAAGAGCTACAGGAGTGAATTTGTTCCGGTGTCAGTAGGAACAGGAGCTAGCTATAACTGCTCTTATGTGCAAGACCTGTTTGCTTAGTAATAGGAAACTGTGAGATGAGCTCCTGTCTGTCTTGGCTCCTTTTGTGGGGAAGGAAAAGGTGTTTTGCCAAAAAGACGGTGAGACTTTAGAAAATACCAGTGGAGTTTTGCTGTTAGGTGTGAGTCCTCCTTTTCTTTGCCTGATGATGCCACAGAGGTGTTTTAAATCCCTTATGAATGCATATACCTGTGAAGTAAACATGGAATGTGTGCTGGTTGTTGAGGTCTCCTGAGTGAATTTCACTTAGTCCTCCTTCCTAGAGAATAGTTTAGAGGCAATTAAATATCCGTCATCTAATTCCTTAACCCTATGTGCATTTCATCGATTTTGGACGTATTAGACAGTCAGCATGCTGCTGTGCAAAGTAGAAAGAAAGATGTTCACTAAAATGATGCAAAGGCAGAAAGAAACTCTTGAACAACAGATTTTTTTGTAGACATCTTCATGCAAGAATTTGACATCTAGTTAAATCATCCTTCTTGGAAGGAGCAGAGAGTTTTTTACGTGAAGTTGTGTGAGATGAGAAACACTCTGCAAAGGGTTGCATGTGACATTGGCAACCTTTGTGTTGGTGAAGAGGAGACTGAATCATAAGACAGTAATGGTTGATCTAGATGGCAGATATTCAGTGAGAAAATCAGTTCTGTCCAACCATGCAGCCTTCAGTGACACGTAGCTATTTCAGAGATTTGTAGGTAGGTGCTTGGCAATGGCCTTTGAATTATGCACTGGGACATTGCAGCTGCCTTCCAGCCCTCAATCTGTAGAAGAGCAGCCCTTAGGAAAATGCTTTTCCCATGAGAACCATTTCCAAAGCAGTACACTGGGGTATGATGTGAAACACCTTCTGAGAAATGAAAGTCTACAAAGCAAATTAATACCATTTTATTGCAACAATGTGATATGAATGTAGATAGAGTTTTGGAGAGAATTTTAAGGATACTGTTTCACTGTTGATGGTTGCTGACGATACGCTGCAGCCAGGACTGTGATGTCAGCGTGCTATTAAGTTAGCAGCTCCTGCATACATGTCTGTGTCACAAATTATAGAGTTGTAGTGCTGTACAACATGCCTCCATGTCTTTGGTCTTGATCCCTTTTAGGTCTGAGTCCTGTTGGTGGTGAAATGGCAATTTCTGGAGTAGGCAGAGTCCATTTCCATTTCTTCCTTTCTAACAATTGTGATCGAAAAATATCAGTCGACTGCCAGTAACCTCATTGATTTCAGGCATGTCTATCTGCCTTCATACAATACTGGATTATCACAGGTCTTACAAGAGCCTATGTGCATAAATATTTTGATTGAATACACAGAATTTAACTATCTCTGCAATAACTTTGCAGATAGGGTAACTGCCACCCACCAAACCTTTTGCTATTGTGGCACCCTTTCAGTGACAGGATTGACAATAGGTGGTGAGGGAAACTACTGTTCAACTGCTCTGACCTTGCCTCTCAGTATGTGTTAAAGTATTCAGTGATACAGCTTGGTGCCACGTACTGAAATTTTCCTAATGTTACAAGCCATGTATTCCTGTTAATTACACACTGCAAGGTCTTGGGTTTGATGACAAGGTCACATGTTTGATTTCTCCCACAAGTGCTAGCAATAATGTTAAATATACTTCTTGTGGTTAGAAACCATCTTTCTGCAGGTTTTTCCTACACACATAGTCACACAGAAAAAGTGCTGGGAGAGAAAAAGCTACCAAATATCCAGCACAGCATCAGTAACGTTAAATATTGGCTTTGTTCTTGTGTAAGTTGATCCAGGTTAATTACAGGGACTGTTGAATCAAAATAGTATTTGGTTTTTATGATCCAATTTTACCTGGTTTACTGCAGGGCCTTGAATATGCAGGCTTCGATTCTGTCGAGCAGCAGAGAACACTTGGCATTAAGTCTGGGGTGAAGGGAATGCTTCAGCTTTCAGCTGCCGAACTGGTTGTTGTTAGAGACTGCAGCAGACTAACAGCTAACACAGCATTGCTATTGTTCTTCAAATGCCGTGACAGGAAATAGATTGGCACAGGGATGTTCTAATAATGCCTATTGTTTGTACCTTGTCAGCAGAGAGATGCTGGCCACCTTGGCACAGAGGAAGGGAGAGCCACAATTGTTAAGAGTCAGAAAACAGTGGCACAGGTGCCACAGTACATGTCCAGGTTCTGAATGATCAGAATGCAGCTGAGAGGTTAGAGCTACAACTTCTTTAAAGGAGCATCTCTGATAACCAGGCCGTTCATAACTTACAGTGTTTATACTCTAACCATGTAACCAGATATCAGGAGCAGCATCTGAAGCTGTCTGAACTACTGCATGTACATACCTACATGTTTAAGCTGCTGAGAAGCTGTCTTGTGGAGGAGACAGTAGGTTCTGTATTTGTGAAATAGATGTGGTCAAATAAATGCTAATGTGAACATCTGAAGTTCTGCTTTGGCATGTAGCAGTTTATCAGATCATTCTGAACATTTCTGTAAATGTATATAAAGAGAGAAAACATGCTAACATCCTCTTGTCTGGAGAGGATTTAAAAGACATTTTGACATGTCATCTTGTTACCAGCACAAAGGTGGTATTCTGATGGTCACTGAAGGCCCTCTTGTTTTGAAATCCACAGCATCTGATAAAAAAAACTCTAAATCTTTTGTATTCATGCAGGCTATATTTGTGCAGGTGTTTTGTATCTGTGTTTAGAGAAAATAAAGACCAGTTCTCAACTGCCCCTAAGACTGCTTCATTGAATTAGGGCTTCCTGTACTTTGTCAGCCAGTCAGCAGTGAAATGGCTGCCCAAAATCAGTTTGCAGTAACAAGTGTGAGACGTGCGACTGTGGTTTTTAACAGCAGTATGTCAGTATCTGTGTCAGCATTTTATTTTACTAGTATTTTCAGAAATAGTTAAAGTGTTATTCTTTATGGAAGATTAATAATGACACTTGAAGCATGAAGATGAGCTCAGAAGGCAATGGCACCGAAGTCCTCACTGTGTGTGTCTTAAAACTGCCATGGACGAAATAGCTGCTGTTACTTTTGGCATATCCCATCTGTTGGCATCAGGACTTTGTAGACACTGTGTTTCAAATGGTATGGTTTCAACTAGAGAGCATCCAAACCCAAGTGTAACCGAACTCCTGCACCAAAGTTGCAAACTCTCTTGATGTGTCTGGGCATCAGTGGGATGCTACAATCTCTTGGGTTCGCTTTAGAAATGGATGTGATGGATCCTGCTTGCAGTCCTAACATTAAAATACATTTCTGTCAAGAATGTGGGGAAATCCTACAAGAAACCCTGGCTATCAGACAGAATTCCCTGAGAGAGAGGAAATCCCTTGCAGTGAAGATAGAATTTTAAAACTCCATTACTTTAGCAGATACTTTTTGCATGAAGACTTGTACCAACCTCAGACTTTCCCTTAGAATGAGTATACAGTTTCCATTCAACTGAGTTTGAAAAATAAGTTAACAAATGTGTGTGAAGATGGAGAGAGTAAGTATCGTAATGTGTACGTTAGTTAAGACAATAGTGACATGCTATGAACAATCAGATCTAAGCTTTGTTTTGTAGTTTGATATTAAGATTTTAATCAATTGAGCATCACTAAACATGTTTATTAGGTGCATTTCAGTATCAGTAGAAACAGCCAGCTTTAAAAAGGTTTCCCTTAAAATTTATTTATAAAAATGATTCTTTATTGAACTACGTGAAAACTAATTAGTTTCAAGCTGTCCTTAGAAAAGAAGTTCAAATTTACTTTTTGAGGTTTACGTCCCAAAGAGATGGATTCAAGATGGTTCTTTGGTCCAGGCTTCCCAGCACCACCTGCCTGAGGATCACATTCCCAGTTTTCTCCCAGGCCGTGCCTGTAAGGTCAGGTGCTGACGGAAGTGGAAGTGTTGCATTGTAAACTTACAGTGCTGCTCTTTTCTGAGTTGGCTTCTTCCTTTAAATGGTTGATACCGTGCATTGTAAGGCCAGTTGCAAATCCAGTCAGTACCTGCTTGTAATTCAGTTAATTGGCAGAATATATGTTGTCCTTGGGAAACGTGATTAGTTAATTGTGTTTCAGTTATTCCAGCCCCTTTGTTGCAATAATTTCATTGAATGCAGTAGGGCAAGCCCTCATGTTACACCAGTGAGTTTTAAAAAGTATTCAGTTGTCACCTCTGCTGTACGTTTCTTGCATTCTCATGCTTCAGGAGCTTGCTTCACAGTGTATTTTGAACTATAGAGTTAGACTCTCTGCTACTTATTCACATTGAGTTTCTTTAAGGAGCTAAATTCTCTTACAATATTCATTTCTGTGCCTGCATCTTACAGCAGTATCTGCAACTAAAGTAGATTAATCTCCAGATGTTCCATACTATATTAGCAGTTAATATGGGGAAAATATTTTGAGAATTACCTATTGTAAGCAGTAGGGGGCAACGTTTCCATGAAATCTGTAGAGGCTTGACCTTTTTATTTGCAGTTTGCAAAGATGAAAATGTATGTATACTTTCTGCTGCTGTTGTCAAACTGTCTGAACCAAATATCAACTTCACTGTGTTAAATCTAAAATGCAGATTAAATTTCCTGCATTCTGATAGGTGAGGAGCAATATTTAACCAAAAATGCTGTACCTTTGTTTTGACAACATATGTTTCTGATCTGCAGAAAATATTATAAACAGCATATATCCAATAGGTGCACTTAATTTAAATAATTCAGTGCCATGATGTTTGGGTGATTCTCAGTGTTTCTTTGCCCCTTGGTTTTGCTGGAATGAATACCTAGGTAAGGGTTCTAGTATAGAAAATTAAATTCCTTGATTGGTTGTCAGAGAGCAGCAGTGACCTGCACCATGCTGAGGATCCCATCCAGTCCCTCAACAGCTTTTACTTTTTTTTTTTTTTTTTTTTTTTTTTTTATTAA